CCAATACAAACAACCTAAAACAGAAACACAGAAAAAACACAAAAATATATACCTTTAGCAGAAGAAATCAAACAGATGTGGCACTAAGAAACCATTAAGATAGTACCCATTATAATTTCGTCAACTAGTATCATACCGAAAACCCGTCATACCACCTTAAAAATGATAGATCTGCACCCTAAAACCTAGATACTTCTACAAAAGTCAATTGTACTAGACACATGCTCGATAGTTCGCCGTTTCTTAAATACACCTGATTCAACAAACTCTCAAAAAAATCGCCACTCACTCACATCCCCCCACAAACCACAACCGAACCAGAATACTTGGCTTAGGCCGTACCTGGTTCCAAATATCTGACCTTCAGTCGAGCACAAGAAAGAATCTTAACATAATAATAATAATCAGTATGTCCCGCGGAACTGTGGAGGTAGAGGCCTATTAAGTGTGAAAACCATGCACAACCGCGAGATATGCAATCTCAGAAACTACTTTTTGACGATGACAGACGACGTAATTCGTGGGGAGGCTGTCACATGTGATAAAGGGCCAACTCCCTTATTGTTAGCTAAAGAGGAATGGCGAGACCCGGTGATGCTTAACACCTCTGACCGCGAGTCCGTATGGAAAGAGAAGGAGCTCCAATGGGAGGTTCTTCAAGGTAAACCGAAGGTTTTGTCTGTGCAATACAGGATCAGGTTATCAAGACGCGGAACTATCGGAAAGGTATCGTAAAGGGCGGCACAGTAGACATTTGTCGGGCACACTGCCGTCCCGGAGAGTCACTTAGTCATATTGTTTCCGGTTGTTCTCGTGAAAGCTGAAACCGAGAAACGTCAGAAGTATCTCGACCTGGCGCACGTAATCACCGACATGTGGGATGTGGCCTCCACTGAAATAATCCCAATTGTTTTGTCCGCAAACGGTTTAATTCCAGTCAGCCTTTCTAGCAGCTTGAGGCGGTTGGATTTCTGTGGCGTGTCGCTTCCAGCACAAATGCAGAAGGTGGTCCTGCCGATACGGCACGTATTATTCGCCGGTTCTTGAACCTGAGTCCCTGACCCCGGCCGACTGTGCCATTGCCGGAAAATACCGCCTCTCCCATTTAAAAATTCAAAATTAATCTTTTAGGCCTTGGGAGAGGCGAGAGTCTACAATAGATATAATAATAATAACGCACACATTCAACATAGTCCCGCACTAGGGAGACCCTGTGTCGCGGGTGCCATAGTCACACACATAGACAACCACAAATTACACCCAAACTCACGAGAGAAATAAATGTAGGCCGTACAAATATTTCTTCCGGCCCGGGAATCGAACCAGGGACCTCTGCGTGGCAGTCCGCCATGGTAACCGTTCGGCCACAGAGGCAGTTTAAATGTTGTTAGCGTACAAAGCGGACAAGTTTTTATGAAGGATTTTTTAACATGAAGCAATTTTTTCTGATCTAAATCACATATATTTTTTTTATCAAACAAACCAACGTTTCGGGCCCTTTACATTGTACATAAATATTATTGTATGTATATACTAAAAATTTTCTACGTGTAACAATCTCGAAAACTTAAGTATTTTATACATATGTGCACTATTCCTAAAAAAATCCATTTTAAGTTAAGACTCTATAATACTTTAATCTCACATACTTCAATCGTAATAAAATAGCCTACAGTAGAAACTTAGTAATTAACAGCAACAAGTTACAAAGCTTGGGAAGAATAATCGTCATTATTCCACATCATTATTATAATAATTGATGATACTACGAGATGGGAGCCACTACAGAATTATGATTTTTAGAGTTCCATAGGCAAACATCGAAAATGGTCAACGGTATCCATCGCTGCCGTCGGTCGGTTTGTTTGTCTTAGTAATTTTACTCGAAATCTGTAAGGTTTCATTAATATATGTCTATATAACACGAATAAAAGTAGGTATTTTTAATACAAATAAGAAAACAGAAAACATTGTAAATATATATACAAAATGCCTGTATTCCCGGCGAGAGTCGCTTTTAATTTAATTTCCTTAGAGACGCCTCTTGGCGCCTTTCAGAATTACTGCTTTGTACATATTTATTTTTATTTGCCAAATTAATCTCGCATTTATTCGTCTATTTTCAAGCTAAACAACTAAAAAAAAATCGTAACTTTCGTTTACTTATATGAATAAGTAAAGGAAAGTTACGATGGTTAAGCTGCTCGAGAAAGGAGACATTTCTCCATTGATCCAGGATTTAGATTTGGGTTTACTGAATAGTGCAATAAATAAAACGAGAAAAATTGAGCTACCTTTAGTGACCATGATAAGTTTATCAAATATATAGTTAAAAGATGGCTAGGAGTCATAATCTTACTTAAGCTAGATACGTGAGATAAGAATCTATTGTGAGGTACTTTTAATTGCGAGATATTGTTAAGTACTATTATAAGAAAGTCTACAAGATAGAGTTTACCCGTTAAAGCACTGTACAAGGAGCTCTGAGTGAAAACCGTATATAGATATATAGAGTCGTATAGGGAGGTCTAAGAAAAAATGTACACAGAGTGTGAAATCTTAAAATAACGTCATAACGTGAAGTCATACAAGGCACTTTGTGAAACCCATGTGGAAGCATACAAGTAATGTGTCGTCGTACAGGGAAATCGACGCTTTTGTTGTTTATTGCTTAATACACAAAAAATAGAGCTGGAATATCTTGCAGTGAACCAACTAACCACGACCTCCCCGCCAAAGAACTTGAACTCATTAGCAGAGCATTATGTGGCATTATTCCTATTCCTATAAGCTGCTCTCTGAAGCTTTGGCAAAGAGCCAACAAAATAAGCTTTAACAGTGTAAAATAATATTAAGCTAGTCAACTTTGATTCAATCAAAGAGAATTATTTGTTCATAAGTAATTGAATTTACGGCAGCGAGTCGTCGTTGATACCGTCAGCCTGTCTACTGTATAAAAATCTAAAATTTGCAGAATAACGTAATAACAAAGTGGTGTTTATTTAACAGGATTATATGTAAAAATAGCTGGTTTTTTCTATAATACGTGTGTAAGCAATAAAAATTTAAAATATGGAATTGAGGCATATAACCAAATCTTTTTTTATATTTCTCATTTACTTGGCGAGGTTAGTCATCGGTTTATTTAGAGTTTTGGCAACGTGTAGCCACTAATAGAGCGTTGACGATTTTTACCTAAGCAATTGCAATGTAGGTTAAATTTCTAATGTGTAAGACTTGAATTGTTAATGAATTTACTTTTATCACTGTTTTATACTAAAGTGGCAAATTTATCATAGCTTGTTCAGTTATTTTTCATAACTTTATATGATTTGTTGCTGATTCAACATAAATTTCTAGCTATATATAGCGAAGTACTGAAAGCATTCGATTTGATTTTTCTCAACGGCACACAGACCGTTGGAGCATCTTAGTATGTTGACTTTGCTCTTGGAACGTGCCCTCGTTGTGCTCCAGAGGATTAGTGATCGACCACCGTAAAAAAGAATTTATATCCTATACATCTTGAAACTTTTGGGACCTCACAATTGCAATTACGTTCTTAATTCTTATATAAATAAATCGATGTATCTGATAAACTTCCTTTACATTATATTAAACTCTATCAATTACTCACTAACTCCTAAGATACATGATATTCTAGTTTCGGAGTTAGGGGATCGCTTTTAAAAGGCGTTTCTTCTCTTCTTGTACAGGGTCAAAAGCACATCAAGCTTGACACTTAAGATTTAATTCAACTCTATGCCGCTTACCGTAGGAACGGTCCAAAGTGCAAAGTGTCAAGCTTGATGTGCACTTGACTGTACAACTATCGTTTTCTGTTCTCATGCACCTTGTAAAGTCATACTTATCTACTTTGATAGTTTGTACATTAAATAACTTAATATAATTTAAAATTGAAATTGCGCACATGCCGGAGGTATATCTTTACATAGTAGTGGTTCGTAATTTCTAGCGCTCCAATGAAATGCCTCTGAAATGTCATGAGCTCTGTCAACTTTTCACTAAATATATTCAAAATGCTGTTGCAACTGCCACGCGTTTTTAAAGCAAACCAATGTTCCGGACCCTTTAAACCGACGTAGTCTTCGTTAATTTAATAAAGTGCTGAACATTTATAGCAAAATTTCTCCGTTCTTTTCACATAGTAACTGCCAACGCTATCTGTCGGCATGCAACATGTACGACGACAAGAGATGGAAAACTTGTTAATATGTATGGAGGGTGAAATTTATTGACTGCTGGATACGGCATCCTTTCTCTTCAAGATAGATGTGTTTAAACTCAAGAAATTCTACAACCAACACAAATGTTGTTGTTGTTTGCAATCTTCATTTTTCATGTTCCATTTAGTGGTTTTTGAAATGTCACCACATAATAATAAAACAAATGCACATCCTAAAATGTTTTTTGAGCAAACCTCATTTTATTGCTTCTTTTATCAAATATACAAAAATAGAATATTATACGAACAAATTAACTGTTGAATAAAGAAAATCATTCCCAAGCAAATGAACCAGACAACAAAGCAATTTATATGAAAAATGAGCTTTGTCAAATTTTATTACTTTTAATATATCAAATGACCCCGAAGTTTATCTGTATAAATACCTAAATAATATTACTATAGAAAATTATTAAATAATAGTACCTTAAGATTATAAGTGGAATATCTTTGAGAAGATCTACGAAATCATTTAAACAATTTTGTGCTTGCGATTATGCTAATTGCTTATCAATTATACATTTCGTAAACAAGTGGGCTTTTCCGATGATACATCCCAAAAGTCACTATAAATTAATTTATGTTGAAGGTAGGGTGACGAGTTCGCGCTTGCGCTAAGGGTGGCGGACGTGCGCACGCTAAGGGTTGAACATGCGCGCTAGAAGCGTTCTCCATTACAACCCTATACGGGGGACGGTCGATACAACTGCGGGGACCCCAATCGCGCATGCGGGACATTCTGTATTTAACAATCAGGTGTAAGCGACATGGCCGACAGCGAATTTGAAGAATTTCGCCGAGTATTCGACAGATTACCTCAGCACATAAAGGCCCCCACGCCATTTTATTCGTAAGTACAAATTTTGCTGTCATTTATAACCTGGATAGCTAATTTCCACAGGACAAATCCACTGAAAATTACCAGTACTTAAAGTGTCACTTGAGATCGAAGAAATAAAATTCCTAATCATTGTAAAATAAAGAACGCAATTTATTAAAAGATTGCCACAAGCAAAAATAATTTCATTTATTTATATTTGTTCGAACAGATTAGTGCCAAATGTGGGTCTGGAAGACGAATCTCCCTCTTCAAAGAGTGAGGGTTCGCCAGAAGAAGAAAAGGCTTGTGTTGGAGAAACTGAAACGGCAACTCCTGTGGCCACGGAACCTGTTTCCTCGATCCCTCAGCCAGAAACACAGCGTAGCCCCCGCCATCAGACATTTACCAACGGTGAAAGAAGGAGGAGAAAGTTACCTGAAATCCCCAAAAATAGAAAACGTAAGTACATATATCATTTTTAATAACCCATGCCAAGAACTGCTGGCGCCTTTAATAAATTTGTTATTCATAAATACAAAGAGTGCGCCTGTGCGACCGCTATATTTAGAGCAAACAAACGTGACTTTATAATCACTTTGCTATGGCGACTTACTTCCGCATGATAATTAATCCATCTCTAAAAAACATCCCAGACAAATTTAAATCATTTCAGTCCATGTCCAACTTTTACGTGCACTTACATAATATACATAGTATACCTGTTCCATTTGTTACCACAAACATTTAATTTTAACCTTTTATCAGCAACGCAGGTACATGAAAATGATGATTACATTATCGGCACAAACGACGCGAATAGTACTAATAAATACTAATAAATCCGAGTTCATCCTAAGATTACGTTGTAAGAATGCAAACTCAACCTAATTCAGTTTACGGCCTTGTTTTAACGAGACAAGGCTACATGAGATTAATAAACTACATATCTCTCCAGGCAATTTTTTTTTGTCTTGTCACTGTAACAGTTAAAGGCGACCAAGATAGATATCAGATATAGAAATTAGGCCAATGCTAGTGATTTACGAAACCGTCTTTAATAGTAAATATTGCAGTTATTTTCAGCTCTCCTAGTCATCATATATCAAGAAGATGTAACAAGAGTTTAGTTTTTAATTTATGTGATACTTAAGCGTAGTTTTGTGTATAAATATCACATAAAGGAGTTTAAATTATAATTTATCATTATTATGTGTCATACCTATATAATTATCATTATATATAACGCAAACTTACGCTTAAGTGTTGTATGTACTATAACATAGTAAACCTTTTAACGTCTAACCATCTTAGATTTTCACCGTTTAATACAAGTACTCGTATAGTTCAAATATTATTACAATTTTATTGATAATTTAATACTCCAGTTGATTATGTTGAATGTATTTGTGGTTTTCAGCAAGTGTAATACCATGCACACAACCACCATCACTAGCTGATGAACTCGGCCCTCTCTCTGGGGTTTTGCTTCGGCCAGCTTGCCAGGGCAGACCGTTACTGGTTCTGAAATGTGGGTACCTACTTGATGAAGATTCGAGTCCAGACTCGGAGCGGCTACAAAGCCTTGGAGATGTGGACAGCGGACACAGTACTGCGCATTCTCCAATTGATGCAGGTCCAAAGAGCATATCTCCTACACCGCTGCAGCAAAATGGTAAATTCCTATTTAATTAATATTATATAAGTAAGTAAATTCAAGAGCCCATTTTAAAGTGTCAAGCTTGACTTGTTCTTGACAGTATACATGAGTGAGAACACAACCAAATATTTCTTCTACTAATAATGATATAACTAGTAGGACAAATATATGGTGTTTTATATTTGTAAGTTGCCATGCTCTGTATTTGCAGTGTCACCATCATCCAGCTGCAGTATCAGCGGAATCAACTTCGTAGGCAACATGACCACAGTGCCACACAGTCAACTTGAGATGTTGGAAGCTACTCACAGAGGTCTACACAAGTTTAATCCCAGGCATCATGATGAGATCGAAGTTGAGATAGGCGATCCTATTTACGTACAGAAGGAAGCTGACGACTTATGGTGTGAAGGTAATTTCAAATATAAGTTGATGTTTTATTTAATTTTACAGCTACGTCAACAACTACTCTTCACAACTTATTTTTGTTTCATTGTATTTTAGGCCGTCTGTACATAGTCACCATAATGAGCTTTATCGTTCTTTGATAACTCTATATAACACAATTTTTGTTTCTGGGTTATCAATATGATTTTATAATTAGTTAACAAATAATAATGTGAAAAAACTTTATTTCCCTGCAAAAATTATGCTTTTTGTGACAACAAATACTTGAAATTTTGCGTACCATTTATTTATTTACTTATTCCTATCCTCTCTATTACCAGGTGCAATAGAGAGGATACAGTAATATAGACCATGCAGTATGTTCTTTTAAATTCCATTTAGCATTTGAACCACGAAGGAATGAAAGCATGTCATAATAATAATCAAAACATTAAAAACAAAATGCGCAGTGGATTAAATCCCAATCAAGCCACAGGGTTTTAACCCATTTCTGCTCTGCCATGCTTGAATACGGAATATGGTATAATTTCATACGTATAATGAATTTGGATGTAAAAACTTTTTATTAGACGAAAAAGAGGCAACTCCACACAATCTTATGGATTCTGACCAGGAAGGATGCACATTACAATTACATTTTTATGAAGATCGATCGATTCATGTGCATACGATCTAACGACTTTTGTATCGACTTATTTAAATGCTACTGTCCAGCAGAATCGATTTAATAGAAAAGCAAATCGCTTCGCGAAGATCAGAATGAACATTTTGTAATAATATTATTAAAACAAAATTCGATTTACAACAAATATTCAGTAAACTTAGACCAAAATGCTTTTTTTTATGATAATAAGTGGGGAGACGTACAAGTCGTGCGAATGATGGTAAACGACACGCCTGTCCATAACAGTTGCAGTACCACACAGAAAATTAAATCGCAAAGATCTGAGGTGTACTGCCTCTGCGCCCATCACCCTATGACATAAGTTGAAAAGTCCCATGTGCCCGTAATTTCACCAGCACCCTCTTACCCTTTAAAACTGGAACGCAGTAATGCTCATATTACTCAGAAATAGGGTAAGGTGGCAGTACTTCCCTGGACGATCTCTTTCATAAAGAGCTCTTCTGCTACTGTAAAACCGCCAAAGCTTTGACGACTCAGTTGCTACCAAATTTTTATGCAATCACTTTATAGATTACGCCTTGACGAATGATTAAAGAATTAAAATAATTAAAATACAAACGTCAAGAGAATGTAATGCCGCTAGTCAACTTTATTTCCTTTACTCCAGGCGTCAACTTGAGAACGGGGCAGCAAGGTATCTTCCCATCGGCCTATGCAGTCGATATGGAATACAATGACTTTGATCCGGCGAATACCAAAGTAAAACGAGAACGATATTTATTAGGGTAAGTTGAAAATATTTTTGTACCCAAAGATTTTGAATCTTTTTTTTATAATATCAAGACGAACTAGTCGTGCACCTGATGGTAAGCTGTCCATAACGTTGCAGTCCAACTCAGAGCTTTAAATCGCAAAGATCAAAGGGCCGTTACCCTGAGACATAAGTTGACAACTTTTATGTACCTGTAATTTCACCAGCACCCTTACCCTTCAAAACCGGAACACAGTAATACTGACATAACTACTTGGCGGCCGAAATAGGTATGGTGGCAGTACTTCCCTGGACGAACTCTTTCACAAGGAGATCTACTGCTACTAAATTACACTTATCAATTAACAACGGGACTAAACTTAAGCTAGAAATACTTCAAATCCTTAGTTTTATACAATAATTCGATTTTGAACGATTTCGGTAGCCTAGCAGCTCGAACTGTTGGCGCTAGATAGGTCCTGGGTTCGATTCCCGATAATTGATTTGTGAAATGAGCTTTCGAAATTAGTACTGGTATTCTAGGTAGAGCCTCGGAGTTAAATCCGTTGTTTTGCTCATAAAAAACAACAACAATATTTAAATATATACCTCGAAAAGTACCTACATAAAGGAAGTTGTTTCATTCGTCAGGTATATGGGGTCAGTGGAGACATTAGCACACAAAGGCACCGGCGTAGTCTGCCAGGCGGTCAAGAAGATTGTAGGAGAATCTCAAGGAGAACCAGGAACTCAACCTTGCATCTTAGAAGTATCGGACCAAGGCTTGCGGATGGTCGATCGGTCTAAACCAGGCGTAAGTGGCCTAATTATATCAAAACGAGGATAAAACTATAATAACATTATCAAGTTGCAAAGACTTTAATTTAAATCTGAACAGCAAAAATCTGAAATCATAAGAGTACATTTGACCTATATCTCATGTGATGAAAAGTGACGAAGAAGTCGACAATGGAGCATGCACACATGCCTACTTTCTCTCACCTTGAAAAGGTCTAAGTTACAACGTTCAGGGAATAAATCTGCAAACAGGAATTCCACTTCATAGCCGTTCGCCATGTAAACGTGGAAGCATAACGCTTTGTGCGAATGATATGCACAACACAGGGGTGGGACCCAATCCTACGTCTAGTCCGCCGCTGATGGAAATGGGTAGACGAAAAGGACTGTTAATCGCGGTACAAGACAATGTAGTCGGGTATTAGTACCTATTGCTACACCAAATGTTGCGATGAGTACACAAATAGCTATTTTTGTAACGAATTTGTAAATAATTATCGAACTACAATTTATAAAACTGTGATAATTTGTAGTGATAACAAACAAAGCAACTAGATGGCGCTGATTGTACAGGTTTTATGGATACTGACGGTTACTTTTTTATTTAGGATTAGCGCCATTTACCCATACTAGCAAACGTTAATTTATATTATTACTTTGTAACACACAATGCCATCGATTGATATGCACATTTGTCAAAGTTCAGAAATCATTTTAGGTCAAGGAAAAGACTGACTACTATATTTTATATTAAAAATTAATTAATTGATATCCATTTACATAACAAAGACTACTTCCAGGCAATCAATTAGCGCCATCTAGGTATAAGACGGTATGTCGACCTTTTTCAGAGTCACGATATGTAGTGTGGAGATTAGCTGTCCCCTTAAGTTCCATGATATTAGTAAATAAATGTTATAAATTACTTGCAGAGAACTCGAACCGGGCCATGTATCGACTACTTCTACTCGTTAAAGAACGTCTCGTTCTGCGCTTTCCACCCACGCGATCACCGGTACTTAGGTTTCATCACAAAGCACCCCACTCTCCAGCGGTTCGCCTGTCACGTTTTCCGTGGCCAGGAATCCACAAGACCTGTTGCTGAAGCAGTAGGGTAAATATACATTTTTTTACAAACTGATATCAAGCTCGACGACGTCATTTCAAATAAGCACTATCAAAGGTACCCGGAACAGTATTGCCAGAGCCCTTGTATCGAATATTACATTTCGTTACCTGAAAAGTAACACTTTTGCTGCAAATGTTGCTTTTTAAAAGTTCTTTTTTTAAAATAGAAATTGTATCTAAACGATTAGATTTATGTCTGATTAATAAAAATAATAAAAGTAAGTACGCTCGAGAAAGTTGTAACCAGTAATTAATGATTCCATTTTATTTGCGCCATCTCACAGTTGCTTTATCCTCCGATTTGGGTGCGTTCGTAAGCCCTTTAGGATTTACAGTAACAAATACAATTGAATTTAAAAATCAGTACGTCCTCAAATGTTAACATACGTTAATTACATATTACGCGAGTGGATCAAAAGTTATGAAAAATGTAAAAAATGTCTGGCAACCCTGACCAGGAATAGACGACCGTATCTAAAAGTACGAAAAAAGCATAACAGGTCTGCCTCTGCCTACTCGATTGGAAAGTAGGCGTGATAATACTAAGCGAAATGTCGAGTCTCTATAGAAACACAGCAAGCTTTCTTATTTCTCGTTTTCAATTTCCTGTACATTTGCGTGCGCAATATTTTACAATTACAATTTTTCCATTAGACAACATTGTGACCTATGGCCTCAATAATCTCAGGCACACATCAAAATTCAAAATTTGAAATTCGTCACGACACTTACTATATTTTTTTTACTAGTCACAAATTTCAATCACATTGGTTGAGAAATGGTGATTAATCCCGTTCATAGATTGTGTAATTTGAGTGTATGTCAAGAAAGCTTCGCTCGTTGGGAGTATGTCATGCCGTTTCAATGACGTCATAACTACATAAAATACTTTGTTGTAGAAATCTAAAGAAAAACACTTGTTCTACTGCTTCGCTTTGTCAATATAAACGTAATATATTGTATATCAAAATGCGTTGATGTAAAGTCACGTTTTTTCTGTTTCAGGAGAGCATTTCAAAGGTTTTATCAAAAATTCATAGAAACAGCTTATCCAATAGAAGACATCTACATAGAATAAATAACTTGTCTATCACCAATGTTACTTAAACTGTTGCAATTCTAACAACTTCAGTATTTTCGCCTTATAGGTACTCTGGATAATACGTATAGCTAGATAACGTCAAAATTTAGTTCTAATATGTAGAGATTTGTACATACAAATTATCAGTATTGTTACATCATTCTGTACATCTAAAACTAAAATGTATTAATAGTTACAAATGTCGTGTTAAGCAGCAAATTTTGACGACTAACAGATTGAATATTATGATACTGTAATTACTTTTCTTGATATTTAGAAAACTTCTTTATTATACCGTCTAGTGTTAAGATATTACAAAAAAATATTGGTAAACTTGTTTTAATAAGCATATTATATATATATATATATATATATATATATATATATATATATATATATATATTTGGTAAAGTATAACAGTAAATATTTAATGTTTTCTTTAGACGTTAATTCAAATAACATATTGGTGGATAAAAAGTCTTAAAATAGTAGTTGTACCTATATGAGCGTTAAATGATAAGCTATTTGGGTAACATGATTACTGTTTTCTTCTAGACAGCGATTTGAGCTACTCTTTATTTTACACTATCTGCGTATGTAACATTTCTATCTGGCTGTACATTGACTTTTGTATTAAGATGGAAATAAAATCTCGACTAATTAAGTATATTGCGATACAAGGATCATTTCACTTAATTTATGTAACCTTATCCTTGACACGTAAGGAATTTGATTAGTATAGTTGCTTTGAAGTGGAATGAACGGACCCTGTAATTGTCATATCTGTTTATAATTATTTTTCCCTAATGGCAGCCACGGGGCCAGTGTCAGTTTCGCTATATGTAAATGCAACATCATATTGACATAAATCAGTAATAACATCCTTTAATGGCATTGCCGCATGAAATATCATGTTACATCTCAAAATCTACAAACAAACTTAGTTTTTTTTGTCTTTTACGAGATTCTGTCATGCCTATCTAAATAAAATTTGAAAGCTTGTGATATTGGAAATGTAAGTGTAATTTGTACAAAGTAGGAACTGTTAAGATGTTCAAAGATGTACAAAATGTTTATTGATGTGACAAGCAGAGGGAGGAGAAGAAGAAAGAGTTGTTGTGCTTAACTTGGCGATTGCTTAAGTGTACGAAGGATCAAACTAAATAGTTTACTGTTACAGCGGTATACTATTCACATTATTTAAAATAATAAATGCAGTAGAATTGATAAGAAAATATGAACGGTAAATATTTAATGGGGTAAAGCAAATCAATAACAGATTTGTCCTTCGATATTAAGAAATAATTATTTTTTTACATATTTGCATATTAATTGCATTTATTATTTTATTTGTTACCAACACACCTGCAACTGTTCATTTTTTTGTAGCAAAAGTTTAGAGGATTTTTACCTCATACATAAATTTATGTTTGAGAAGTGCGACTGTAGGCTCCGTGCTGTTAGAATGGTACTGAGCGCCAAATGAGAATGATTTTTACAGAGTCATTCACGGTTTCTCATGGGTGTCAAAGCCTTTACTTTACGAAGACCGTCAGCCGCTACGTAGCATTACAGAATGTAGGGCCCACAGACCCCTGGGTGTCGAGTGTCGTGATACTTCTAACTCAAGACAATAGGAAGTACGACAAAATAATCTCGAAAGCTGTGATACGGATACGTTAATTTACGGTGTAGATATTAATTGTTTTCTTAATATCTAGACATATTTTGTTATGTTTTTATTAATAGTACTTTCAAAGTAACTCTCATAGGATACCGTATGTTTACGAAATTACGTATTTGCTTCAAATTACGTGTAATTTATAATCATCGTAGCTGATTGTATTAAAAAAGAACATTGACACAAGGATAATAAACTTTACAGTGTAGACAATGATGTTATATCTAGATATAACATCTCTGTTCCATGTCATTGAGAGTAGAACAAGGTTTTAAGTAAAATTCAATGTAAATTAGATGATTTGCTACATTTGTACAATTATACAAAAGCCTACACCCTTTTTTTATATTGATTGTTATAACGCCGATGTAATAAACATAATTTATAAGTAGTTTTAAATATGTCTATGTATAATACGACATGTGGACGGTGACGTTTGTGTTGTTGTGTACTTACTAAAATATGTAGTATGGCAATATTATTTAACTTCGTACCTGTAATACCATTATGAATTTTTAGTAACCGACTTTAAAAAACATTAGGAGGTTCTCAATTCGACTGAATTTTTTTTGTGTGTATACCCGATTACGCTTAAGGCATTGATGAACCGATTTTGATGATCCTTTTTGTTGGAAAGAGGGTACCCCGGTATTGGTCCCATTTAAATTTTGAAGAAAAAACTCACTTGTAAGGATACCAAACTAGGGGATGAAACCAGTTTCGCGCCCTTTCCGGTAACCGATTTCAATAAAATTTGGCAAATAGATGTAATTCCACGAACTTTTAAGGTCAGGTTTTTTTGTTAAAAAAGTTTTTTTGAACAGCCACATATACAATTCAGTCCAAGTTGTTAAAACTGTTTAACCATAAAGTTAGATCTCTTACAGGCGCTGTCAATGGCGGTAAAAGTCGAAAAAACTCAATACAAAAGATCATCATGAAGTTGTATATTGTCATTTTTAAACAGTTGTCTCTTAACAAAAAGTGGAAAAACTCATTTCTAACCTGATTTTTGACTTTTGTCTATAACTATGTACTTTGTTCTTGAACGAATATTTGTGTTATAAATTGTAAGCATTATGCAATTATATTGCAAAGCCGGGCGTATCTCAAGATAAACCGATTGACAACTCATTTGTAAATGATTTTGTCACAGCCGACGTAAGTGCCAATGTGTTTACATTGTTGTACGTCGATACTACAAAATCGAGCATCGACTGTACGTCGTTTGTTGCGTAAGTTTTAAATGCAACCAAAGTCGTACAAAATCATTTTTGCGAGATGCTTTCATTGTCTTGGACTGATTGTGATAAAATTGTTTCTTTTATCGCACTTAACCACAACATTGCAGAAAATTAAGTGTTCTCATATTAATTTTTCAAATTCTATTGCAATAAAGTTTATTTCATAAGTGTAATTATGTCATTTTTTGGTGTTTTTGTATAAGGCAAAGGTAAAGGAAGAACGGCAATATGGACGTCACCACCTTAAAATTTGGAATAAACAATGAATCTATTTAAAATAATAATAATCATCATTCAGTCATAAGAGAAATACTAGCATTCAACAAAGCTGAGTAAAGCTGTGACTCAAATTATAACTAAAATTATTTATTTTTCCAGTAATGTCATAGCGTAAACAATCTAATATTTGCGTAACAATATAATACTATGTGGGACTGATCTGAAAGTGTTTTATTAATTACCAAATAATGATAATGTTTTCCTACAATAATGATATTCAAAAGGTACCGAGTAATCACTACCTAATGCCTACATCGCCTTTTCCGAGTTCTTCCTGGTACGTGGTGTTTGGTTATGTCCATCGACTTTTCTTGCCGGCTGTACCTAATTTGGAATAAATAGCGCCACCTCATAACTGTCTTTGAAACTACAGCGCATGTTCTGGTCTTTTGCCCACTCAGAACCAAGGATTCCATTTTCTATGTTTACCTCACTTCTCACGTGACGAAATAACCGCACAGTATATTATTTAGGCGCACGCCAAGTTATGTGCTTTAAGCATCTATTGTTATTGCGAAGACGTACAAAACTTACCTATTTCTGCCGCCAAGCAGTAATATGAGCATTCCGGTTTTGAAGAGTCAGGGTGCTAGTGAAATTACTTTACAGATCATCAATCAATTATTTACAGATCTTTACGATTTAAAGCTCTGAGCGGTATTGCAACTGTTATGGACATGCGTGTCGCTTACCACCAGGCGCTCAACTTGTTCGCTCCGTCACTTGACATCATACAAAAACCCTCTCTCTGACCGATAACACTGGGTTAATTTTTATTCTACCCCTTTTTGTTGTAAACACAGGGTGTCCATATTAAGAGAGAAGGAGATTAAGATTGTAGTATTTTTTATCTACTCAACATTTTGAAAAATACCTTGCACTAACAATTAATTGAGAATGTTTATGTCTCCCCAAATTATTTATTTTAATGAATAAATTAATGAACGAAATATTCTTTATTGCACTTAAAATTACAGCGACAACACAAAACAGTAACTTAAGTATAAAAAAACAGTAAATTAATTGCAACAGGCGGCCTTATTGCTATGTAGCCATTTCTTTCAGGCTACCTTAGGATAAAAATTTTAATTTGGATATGTTAGTGAAAATCTATGCAAGCAAAGTTTCATTGTCGCACGAATGTTCCACTACACGTGACGTGTCAACGATATTTTAATAACATTATTTGCATTTGTTACTAAGAAGTAGGTGGCAAAAGACAAGGAAAGGGTATGGAATCAGATAGACAAATGAAATATACAATAAACATTTCTATAATTTACCGTTTCTGTTTTATTTTATTCGAAAACCTATCAACAATTCAAGAAACCACGTGAACAAATAAAAATACTACGCAGATCATATAATTTATTGGATCACAGAACTAAATTTCGTACATTGTAACTACATGTTTTAAAGTTATTCAGTTTGAGCAACTTCATTAACCACACCAATACCATAAACAATTTTACATCAAGGAAAATAGTAACAATACAAATATCACTTATAAACATTCTAATAAATTTAAATAAATATACTGCACAATTCACTTATACATTTAAAACACATTTTCACATTTTAATTCAATTAAAAACAGATCGAAATACTGAATGTGTCAGTTTCGAAACTATAATGACACTAGATAAAAAACATACATACACTTTAGAATTTTTTTTATTGCTTAGTTTATTCTTAGGAAGAACTTTGTATTGCATACATTGAGTGGAAGCAAAGCACTGCAAACAGCACAAGAGAGGATAGACGAGATTAAAATAATATAACTCGACTGTTAAAATAAAATTAATAGAAATGTAGTTCATCTTCTACCATTCCCTGGAAATTCATTCACCAAGCGAAACGACGACTTACTCTAATGTATTACAAAATGAAGTAATAAGATTATAAAAAGAGTACCTACATCTGTTAATACTTTATTTTTTATTTCCGCATGCGGATAAGTTTTCTCGTGGCGTTTCTTTCTAG